TTATAGAGTAGAATTTATTAAATAAACTAGTTAAGCCGGGTATATACGGTAGCGAAAGATTGCTAGAACGAACGCTACGAGGATGTAAGGGGATAGTAGAGTAATACGCGGGTGCTGGCTACTATATATATATTAAGGTTCTATAAAGAAAGAAAGAAGAAAACGCTACCCTTTAGGTGGGTTGAGTGCTAGAGCTTAAATAGCCGTGCGCTTAGTGCCTTATAGCCTAAGGTAGTAAGAGAATACTCTAGAAGCCCGGGGCGCTGTAGTGCCGTAGTCCGAATCGATTAGGGTAGTTTTAATACGGACTACCGTCTTAGTACTCGAATCTAGCCAGTTAGAACTAAATACCTTATTAGGCGCCAGTCCTATAATATTAGCCTCCCCCTTTTCCTTCTAGCTATAGTCGCGTACTATAATTATTATTTATATTACCCCTATTTTACCCCTCTATAACTCTTACTCTTTCTCTTACTCCTTCAATAAATAATTGTAATTATATTATATATATACCTTTAATTCTGCCTTAGAATACCATTAAATAACTATTATTAACCTCTATTCTTAGTACTAATTTTAAATAAAATCCTTTCAAGCTCCGGCCTACTATTTTAATTCATTATTGCCCGGCTATAGCGCCCGTAGTTGCACCTATAATTACTTTTATATTTACGCCCGTACTTATACTTATTACTATTATTATTCTAATAGCTACTTTAGTCCCTATTTCTATACTTATTCTTATTCCTACTTCTACCGCGCCGAACTCTCTAGCGCTTAGGACCCTAGGCGGTAACGGCGGCAGTAGAAACTATAAATTTATTAAAATACCTATTAAAAGTATTATATCTATTTAATACTCCCGATATATAATACTAGGGGATTATAGCGCTTATATACTTAATAAGGGTAAAGACTACTATATATTTTATGTACGTTTAAAGAATTCGGGTATTTATTAATAGTAGCTTTCTACTATTTAAAAGTAGTACTCTACTTAATTAGCAGAGGGCTACCTAGGTAATAAAGCTCCGTTTTATTAATCTTTTCGTTTAATAGTAATTTCAGCTCGTAATTTCGAATAATTAATAATTAAAGACTATATAGCTCCGTAAATATCCTTTAAATACTTGTATTCTATTTAACTACTAATTTAAATTTAAGGATACTACCTACTTCGTACTTAATTACCCCGTTAATAAAGCGCCGCTAGCCCCCCTTTCTACTACTATAATATTTCTAACTATAATTCCGGATATTCCTATATTTTTAGCCCTAACTTCGGTCGTAGTACCTAAAAGATTAGCGGTTCTAAAAAAGGAACTTTAAACCCTTCGTACGAATTAAGGTAATTTAGTAGCTTTATAATTATTATTATTTGCCGAATTGTTTCGGATTAGCCGGAATTTAATTACCTTAGTAAATACTACTATAGAGTCTACCCGGGTTATTAAATATATTACTACTATTATTATTATTTACTTAAATACTTTCGTAGCTGGATTCGATACCCGGATAATTAAAATAGTTTAAACCTTTTAGAATAAAGTAGTAATTATAGCGGCGGAGACTCTTTTTAGAGAGGTAGTTATAAAGCTAGAGATTTATATTAGGAAGTTGGAGGAATAGCGGGAGGTAATAGAGGGGAATAGAGTATTATTAAATAAGAAGGATTTATAGGCTTGTTTTAAATTACTATTAAGTAAGGAGGATTTATTAGTACTAGTAGAAGAGGGGGTAATAGAGGACGGGTTAGAGGGTACTAAGGTACTAAAAGAGGAGGAGGAGGAGGTAATAAAAGTAATAGAAATAATATAGTAGGAAGGGGATATATTAGAGGAGAAGATAAAGTTAAAGAAGATAATTCGGTTTTTAAATTTAATAGAGGAAATTACTTTTCCTCTAAAAAAGAAGAGAAAGGTATAGATTTTCCGCGATAGTACTACTATAGTATTATCGTCCTTAAATATTATAATCGGATTGGGTACTAGGGCGGTATTAAATATTAGAAATTCTAAATAGGATGAGCTAATAGAAGAAGCGCTTTAGTTTTAAGTAGGCGGCCGCGTTTTTTACCTCCGGGTATTAATTTTACTTACCTTTTTTATTCTATTAATATATTCCCTTTCGTAAATTAATTTATAAATCTATCGTTAATTCGAATATCCCCGTATTATCTTTCAAAGAGTTCGAACGCTTCAATATTTTTAAAGTCTTTAAATTAATACTATAAGGGTTTATAATTACCCTTCCACTTTACGAAAACTATTTAATTAATCGGGTTACCTCTAATATATAAAATCTTTTTTATATAATATTCCTTCTCCCCTTCTACTATTACTAATAATAATTATTTATCAGCTAGAACTTAACCCAATAGGGGGTTTCTAATAGCCCGCTAGAGGAGGTCAATATAAAAAATATTATAAATATTATTTAAGAGGCCCGAAAGTTCTATAATTAGCAGTAAGAATACTTTTAAGACAGTATACTTAGTATATAACTAATCTAGCTTTTTCTTAAGTCTTAATAAAATATAATTTTTAAAGTTAAATTATACTTTATTACCTATTTAAAACCTCTCTATAAACTAGCAGAAGCGGTTAATATACTTCTCTTACTCCTAAACTACTATAATTATTATAATTTAATATAAATCTATAATTTATAATAACTTTTTAATAAATTATTAGGCTTAAATATTAGTAGAAATATAGGAGTCTCTAACGGCCTCGGGGACTACTGGGACTACCGACTCCGGGTCGAATCTATAAATAATAAAAAAGGGAAATATATTAATTAAAGTATTAATATAACTATTAATAATTAATTATATTAAAGAATACTATTTGTACTAATCATTTTATACTTAATTAATATACGCCCTTAAAAAGGCTTATACTTCCTAATTTATCCGTTCTAGGCCCCTATCGGTCTAAGGGTAGTAAATAGTACTAAGAAACTACTTAATCCTAAATAATTTGTAAAGTCTACTTTAGAACCGCCTAATCTAATTAGAGCCCCAGTTACTAATTATAGACTATAATTAACCGTAGTACTATATAAAGCAGCTTATAAATCTTTTAGTATAAACTTTAGTATTTATCGACAGTATAAACTCTAATATAATATTCTTACTAAAGCGGTCCTTAATAATAAATAGATATATATTCCCTCTAATTAACGGAAAGTCTGTAATAAAGTCTATTTATACCTCCCGGAAAAATTAGTCCAATACTAGTATTAATTAGAGCAACCCTTTTCTCTAAATTTTCTAATACTTAACAAAACTATATATATAGTAAATATATAAGAATTACTTTATATAAATCCTTAATAACGGTTAATAAAAATATTAGACTAAAACTATAATAGTATTCTTACTACCGGAGTACCCGAATACTTAGGAATTGTATATAATTTAAATAAATAAATATAAAATATATTAAACTCCTAATTAAAATCAAATAGTTTTATAGCTTCTACTTTAATAATTACTAGGTACCCGGGGATCTATAACCTCCCTTAGTATTTTAAACGCCTAAGGTCGTTAATAAAATAGTCGGTAATTTAAACTTTAAATTTAAAAGAAGGGGGTAAATCTCTTATATTATCTTTTACTACCTTAATAACTTATTAGTATATAGCGTCCTTCCTTATAATAGAATTTTAGAACTATTATAAATCCGGATCTTCGAAGACCTTTATACTCTTCCCCTAAACTATTCGAAAGTCCCGAAGATTTATTATTTAAATACGAATGTAATTATATAAAATAAATTCGGGAATAAACTAAAAGTCCCAAACTTCTCTATTATCTTCTATAGACTAATTTTAATTTTACCGAAATAATATATCTAGTACTCCTACTTCTTTATTTAATTAGTATTAGAGTTTAAAGGTAAACTAGGAAAGAAATTTAACCTAGCGAACCTATTACTTAAATAAATACTACTATATTATAAAGTATTTTAAATTATAATAGTCCGTTAGAATTGTAAAGTTATTATAGCTATATAGTTCGGCCTACTACTCCTACAAATAATCGATAATCGCCAACATTTTTTTATTATAAATAGAATAATTATATTCGGCTAATTTTAATTTCCTTAAATAGAACGCTATAATACGTCTCTATCTACCTACCTCCTAAATTAGATAACCCCCTAATATAAAACCGTTATAGTCGGTTTTAAGGAAGGTTGGGCGCTCGGAGTTCTATTTAATTAATATAAGTATTCGAATAAATAATATTTTCAAAAATTAGAAGGCCTCTTTATAAACTATAAATTATTTAAACGAAACTCTTTTACCAGTAAATACTATAAATAGTACTACTACTATAGTAAATTCTAATATAAATATCCAATAATAATTTATAAACCCTAGGAAGCTCTAGACTCCCTTCTAAGATATCGGTACTACCTACTCTAAAATAGCCTTAATTTTCTTAGGATTAGTTTAAATACTAATACTAGCGTAGATAATAAAACCAAAATATTTAACCTTTTTAATAGCAAATTTGTACTTATTAGAATCTAAGTAGAATCTAGCGTTCTAAAAGTATTTGAATACTATATAGACTTTCTATATATAATCTTCCTAAAACCTATCTATAAAAATTAGAACGTTATTTATATACGTTGAGAAAAAGTCGTTGAGGAATTTCTATAATACTTAATTAATATACTGCTAAAAGGCAATTAGAATTCTATACAATCCGAAGGGGACTATAAACTATTTAAAAAAACCGTAGTAAGTCCGGAACACTATCTTATACTCCTCTCCTTCCGCTATTTATATTTTATAGAACGCTTATACTATATATACTTTTAAGAATTATTTTATACCCTTAAATATTTGGAATATTTCCTAAATAAATAGAAAGGGGTACCGGTCCGCTCAAATAATAATATTAAATATTCGGTAATTATAATAGAAATAGAAACCTTTATCTAACTTCTATATAAATAGGACGGGAGCTTTAGTAGCGGAATTACTAGCCCGAATAAATCCCTTATCTATTAAATTCCAAAGTATCTTCTTAAATACTAGGAATTCTTCTTAAAATATATTATATAGTAGGCCGAAAAGGAAAAGTAAACTTTTATTATCTAATCCCCTTTTTAATTTAATTTTTAAATCGATTTTTAATTTATAATTATTAAAGTAGTCTACTTCTTACTTTTTAAATAAGGGAATAAGGTCCTAAAAATCCTTAGAGATAATTTATTAGAATTCTTCATTAGTCTGGACTCTTTTAGGGGTTAGAGCTTTCTTAATATCTTCGAACCGTATAATAAATATAAAGGCTTTTATAACAGTCTGGCCTTTGAACTTCGTAATCTAACGTACGTAATTAATAAAGGTAGTAGCAAAAATATATATAATTCTCTTAAATTCTTTAAGGAATAGGGTCTTAGCCTTAGATTTATTAATATAATTTATTTAGGATTATGTAATATTATACTAGAGTCTTTTCTTATAAGGGATCGAATATACTTAGTTGGTTGTTAATTATAGCTTCCCGAGGATAATAAGGTATTCGAACTCCAATATTATATATATATAAATTAATAAAATATAACCTTAGAATTCCATAAAGAAATAGGTAATACTTTAAATAGAAGCGCCCTCTATAATTATTATAGTACCCCGGATTTATCGGGCCGGAATCGGAATAATAGGGATTTGGAAATTCCGAATAATATTTTTATTAATAATAGTATAGTACTAATAACCTTTATTAATAAGGGTATAGAATAGACTAGTAGAATTAATAATAATTAATATTAGGGTTAATTGTATTTTTATTTAGATTTTGAACTCTTCTACTTTACTTAGTACTTTAGGGGTAGGCTCTAGTACCTAATTTCGTATTAGAACTATTCTTTTCCCTAATCCGATTTAGAACTAGAGATTTTAATTATTTAAAACTCTTCGTCGAATAGTAAGGCTACCTAAATAGCCTAAATATATACTCCTTTACTTTAAGAGTTTATAATAGGAAAGTAAAAATATTTAATAATAATATAATTAGTAGTACTATAATAGATATACCGCCCTTTGGTACAATATTTATCCCTCTCTTTTTATAATACCTATTTAACTTATCCCTTTTATTAGGAAGAAGAACCTCGGCCGCAAATATTACGAATATTAATTATATTTATAAAGATTTTACTATTAGTATTATATCAAATCTTAGGGGATAGGGTAGAGGGGGAATTATAAATTTAATACTAAGAATTAGAACGGCCTACGCCGGGAGTAATAAAAAGGTATATTCTAAACTATTAATTATTCCGGTTACCGTTCCGGAGGTAATTTTAGTAGAAGGTTTAGAGTTCTACGGTCTTTTTATATTTATAAATAATATTCTAGAACTATTCTACGTAAATAAAATAATTATTAGAGAATTTAATACTAAAGAAATAATTACTAAACTTCTTATTAATAGTATAATGAAGGAATTCTAGTTTAGTATAGTTATTTTAATTATAATTGCTAATTTTTAGGAGTTTATTATCGAAGTTAATAAAGAATTCAGAGAATAGTTCGCTATCCTTCTACTTTATTTTAGTAAGGTTATCGAGGGTATAGTTTTAAATATAATAGGTACCGAAGATTTAGTGAATCTATTTGAGTAATTCGGTCGGATTTTTATTATCAGAGAGGGTATAAGCAATTTAGTAACCCTCTAGCCGCTACTATTTATCGATCGGTAGGGTATTAAGGATTTCGATTTAAGTAGTATTAAAATCGGTTTGTAGACCGGCTTTAAAGTCTATATTATACGTTTTAATTAATTTATAATAATAGAAGAGAAAGGTAATAGGTTTATTGTCCTACTAAGGGAATTTAAGCAGCTTCTATTAGTATAATTTATTAGAATTACTATTGGACTCCGTATTATTATTATTAGACTTAGTGTTACGAATTTAAGCAACTACGCGGGCCAACCAGGCTGTTGGGACGTAATAGCCCCGCTTACAATAAGATAGTATAACCTCAGACCAGGGCAGAAAATAAGGGAGTACCAAAAGGGCGCTCACTAGGACAAGTGCTTACGGTAAGTAGTACTTACAATAAATAATATTTACAATGAGCATTACTTACAACGAATAACGCTCATAGTAAGTAGCGCTTACGATAAGTAGAATACTATTGTAAGTATACGCCCAGGATTAAGGCCTTAGGACGAAGTATAGAATATAAAAGAACGATTAGAGAATTTAGATTATTAGGTAGTTCGATAATAGTTAATTGATCATCATCACCGAAATTAGTATTATAATATATACTTATTATAAACTTTCTAACTTTATTGAATAATATTAATAATCTTTATTTTTAATTATCCTATGTAAGTAAATTAAATTACCGTTCGTTATATATTAATTACTCCCTTTAACTTATTTCGAATAATAATTAAAAATACCCCCTTTACTTCGCTATATCTTCTTATACCGAACCGACCGGTATAGAGGGCAATACTGCAAATATCGACCCGACTGTACGCCTCTTCTAAGAATTATAGGACTGGATTTTATAATTTGAAGAATAATTTAAAGCGTAAACCGGGCCTAACGGTAGAAGCCCCAAGGACGGTACTCCGGCGGACCTTCTAGTTACAAAACCTATACTCCCGAAGAAGAATATTAAAATCAAAACTCCTAATAAATTTGGAGGATAGTAAAACTACTTATAAGGATTCCTCTTATAAATTTATACTTACTTTAATTACTATTTAGAGAGCTTCCCTATAAAAACTAATAAAATTATTTTTACCAGGACTTATCTTAAAGATTAAATATTCACTTAGTATAAACCTATTCTCTAGGATTAATATAGCCGTAGAAACTAAGTTAAAAATAGTATTAAGCTTCTTATAATAAACCTATAAAATTTTATAAATACTTTAACCGGAATTTTTAGCGAGTATAACGAAGATTTAAGGGTTTAGGAAAAACTTCTCTACCTTCGCTAAATTATATCCGCCTCAATTTATACTACTTTTTTTAAATAGTATACTATTAAAAGTAAATTCAATAACGAAAGCCTTATATAAATATTTTATTAGGGATTAAAGAACTTTATTAAGAATAAATTGTATAAGGAAGATAAACCCGCTAACTTCGACGACTTTATAGTATATACTATCCGTATTAATAACCGTCTTTAATAATATAGCTAAGAGTAATGGAACCTACCGCTATAATATTAGTAAGCCCCGCGCTAGGCCTATACTAAATTAAAATATAATTAGGGACGAAGCAACTCTTAAGAAGATAAGGGAGACCCTATAAATATTAGTACCGTTTAACCTAATAAAGGACGCTATAATATATTACAAATTAAATATTTTAATTATAGTAAAAAGGGGTATATAAAGTGCAATTATTATATAATTAAATAATTAAAGTAAAAAAAAGCGGAAATAATAATAGTAGAAGGAATTAGAGTAATCGAGATCGCCAATGCTAAATACGGATAAAATAATTTAGAGGACGCTATAAATAAAATTATAAATTATAATCCCGAGGAATACTAGTATTAAATTAATAGGCCGGATAATGAGGACTGTTAGTAGGAAGTAATACCCTAGGAATAATTAACTTAAGAATTAGCTCCTCGGCCGCCAACCTAGGAGGAATTTAGTTATATCGCTACTATCGATTATATACTCCTTACCGTTGCATACATTATAAGTACCTCCCTACTACTAATATTACTTTCTACGTCCGAAATCCCTATCGGTAATATACAAAACTTTATTAATCCTTACTTATATAAACCCCCTAATAATTCTGCTACCGGACATTAGACGGACCCCTTAGAATATTACCGCTAAAAGAATTAAAAAAAAGAAAAATAGGACGATTTTTAGAAGAAGCGGGCAATTATTATCGAAGGTAGGCTTAAAGTATTATAGGGCAATACCCTAAATTTAGTAAGAGTTTATAGACCTATTAAAATGAATATTACTTAAATATACCCCCTTTACTACACCTACTACTAAATACCGTAATTCCAATATATTATAAATAATTATTATAAGTACTATAAAAAGAAATAGGACAACCATTTCTAACCGACCGAGGACGGATATATAAGAATAGCCTAAGCTAATTACCTGTACCTTTAATAGAAGGGATTCTTAAACTACCCTTATTATAGACGAATAATTCGTATTTAAATTATACCCCCTTACGAGACCTAGCGAATAGCTAGCGCTACGGAAACCTCTAATATATTTATATAATATTTATACTTATATAAAATAGGGAACTATTAACTTCTATTAGTAATAATACCCAACGTTGGACTATCCTATTTATATAAGGCAAAAAGCTTAAATTTATAAAATAGAAATTAAATACTATATACAATAAGTTTGTAAAGCCGAAGCTACTAAGGAAAAAGAAGCTATATATTTAGTATAATTATAGGAATAGGGTTTATTAAACGAATTTATACCTAAAGAAGAGGATATTCTTAATAACTACTATTAGGAATTAGGAAACGGCTTAGGGCCTTTAAGGAGGCCTAACGAAAATTAAATCCTTAGACGAAGAGGATTATCCGACGATATAACCGCCGGAAAAGCAAAATCTTAAACCCTATAATATTTATAAAAATCGTAATTACCGAAGAAGGGAAAGCGGATTAACGATTTAAAATTATAACCTATTAAAAAAATTATTAAGCTTTTACGCTAATAGACTCCGGAACTTAATTAAACCTTATTTCGCTAAAGTTTATTACTTAATTAAAAATTCCCTAAAAGAAAAAAAAAGCCCCCTTTATAATAAAAGGACCCTTCGAAATATAAATTATAAAGAGGGAAATATTACTACTACCTATTATAATAAAAGGAAAAACAATCAAAATCAGCTTCGATATCGTCGATATAGGACTATTTAAGGATATAATCCTAAAATACTTATAGTATATTATATATAACTTAAATATTAATTGGAAGGAAAGTAACTACTTATATTTAAAAACGTACCCAACTATTAATAAGAAACTAGGAATATAGAAGGAAATCGGCTATAACA